CTTTCACGTTCTTCAGCATTCTGACAGGAAAGTGCTGGCAACTACCAGCCTTATTATTTGGCGACATAAGTGGAACAGGCTGGGAGGATGGTAAATAGGAATATGGATAAAAAGCTTTTGTGAATCTATATCAACAAACCCCCTTATCTAGGGACTCTGATGAAGGAGAAAAAGAAGAAAACCAAACCAAAACTAAAAAAGAAACAGGTTCAAATGCAACATAAGAGAAACAAATCATGACAGGAGAATCCAGTCAATGCTCCACCTGAGCTAAATATCCGAATGCTTCAAAGGCAGCCAAGACTAAGAGGGGATAACAGTAAGCATTTCTCAAATCTTTCCCAGTGTAAGAATCTAATGTGATGCAGGTAACTCAGATAATAATATTATATAATTCAAGCCTGGAGGCTGTAATAATATGATCAACTCTGAAAACTCAAAAGACAACTCCACTTCTTCCCCACAGACCTTCCATCCTAAAATAGATAATCTTGAACTCCACTTTCTCAAATACCATGACCGTCTCAACAGAGCCGCTAACAAAAAGAAACAAAAAGAGAAACAACAAAAGCACAAGCTCTTTACCCTGTTTGTTCCTCTGTGCTAGAATTCTTTACATTTTTCTGCTTTCCCTGAATTTCCAGCATTTAAGTTACCCTTCTTGGCATGGTCTGGGTTCACATCTGGGATCAGATTGCTGGTATAAGAGAGATCTATATGGCAAAATCTTTAGCGTCAAGCAGCACACCACCCCCTTAACCGACACGAAGAGTCCAGGACTCTAATACTGAGAAACAGGAATTGGAATCCAGTGTGACAAGAACACACCACTGTTAACAAGTATGAACAAGGACATGGAGAAGCTGTTTCATGAAAAAAATTATTTCCCCTTGCCTTGCAATAGTTCTTCCAGATTCTTCTGCAGTTCCTGTTCAGTCAATAAATCTGTACAAGGAAAAGCACATGTGCTTAGCACAGCCATTTTTGCCAGCAGGCACAAAACCAGCTTGGCGCCCGCCAACAGACCACCAACTGCAGCAGCACTTTACTACATGGTAGTATACACAGTTCCAGCTAATAAGAGAGACTGAAGAAAAAAGTGATGCTGTCTAGAACAGCCTTGATGGTAAGGCAGGGACAGTTTTACAACTTATGAGGTACAAGACCATTCCACACACCTTATTCTCTAGACCTTATCTTCCTTACCTGTTCATTGAAAGGGAGACACTAAAGCCAGCTGTTCTGCCCTCTTTGAATTGGATGCATGAAAGTGGCCCTCTGAGGGGCAAAGCTTGCGGTCACAAGTATTTGCTTGCTTTGTGTCCTGTGCATCTAGAATTCTGATAAGGACTTACCTGTATGGTTGCCACTGCACTAGTCCCAAGGCAATCGCAGCCAGCAGACAGCCTGAGAGCTAGTACATCTTCTCCTGTCTTAGCCCAAACAAAATCAGACCAAATCACCCTGAGCTATAGTCTTCATTCAGACCTAATCCCTGCACATGTTCCCAATGAAATAAATCATGATTGAATTTGGCCTACATCAGGAGTAACCCTTTCTATTTTAATTTTCTAATTGAGGAGACGAGCCCTAAACACAGCATTCAGCTTCAAGTAAGGCAAACGCCTGGGATCCATCCTAGTACTGTTTTTCTGTTTGAGCGGCATCAAGAGCAGACGTTTCAGCTGAAATCAGCATCAACTTGTCATTTGACAACCACTGCCTTGGTCAGAGTCCAGTTAGGCAGCTGCTGTTACTCAGTTGGTTTGTCTGGATGCATCTTCCAAACAGAGCAGCCCATACATATACATTTGCCTCAGCCTGGAGCCTACATGAGCAAGTTTGCAAGCTCTGAAAGGGTCTTGTGACTCTATCACAAATAGAGGATCCCAACACATTCCTAATTCCTCCTCTTACAAAATGGACATCACCAAATTTGCTTTTCATGATATTAATTTCAGGACCACAAGAACAAGAGAAGACATGCTTCTGGCCCTCAAAATGTCCATTTTCCTCAGAAAGGCAGGTAGAAACATAGTGAATATTTACTGGACTGGAAAATTCACCACAAGAGAGGCTTTTCCAGCACAGCTAGGCTTACCTCTTCTTCCCATTAACTCTTATGTGGGAAAATGCCCCAGATTTTAACTGCAACAAGGGGAAAAATAAGGCTTTTAAAAATTCATTCAAGCACACCAATGTTTCATTATACCCTTTGCAGAGCAGATGGCAAGATGAGGCTATACCCTCAGGGTCTGCTTCAGGGAGCTAACACAAATGCTCTTCTCACTACAGATCTTAGATGACGTTGGTGTCATCATTCCACTTGGGGATTTGGGTCAAAAGGCTTTACGCTCAAATCTGTTTTTTATATAGTACAAGCGCACCCAGGGTAGACCCTAGCGGATAAGCAGTGGGGCGGCTATTACACAGCACACAGCCCTCTCAGGCACTTCCAGGTCGCTGATTTACACTGGCGCATTTACAGACTGAATCTTTCTAATCCAATTAAAATCTCATCTGAGCTGTCAATACAGATGTAGCCTGTTGTATTTTAGTGTCTCGCAGAACATGCATTAAGCCAGACCTGTGGACAAACTAGCCCTTCTAGGCAAATTCTGCATTTTGCCAGCCCGGTTTCTAGCCCAGGTTCTCTCAGTCGTAAAGCCCTTACTGCTCTCATGTTACCTGCCTACCCAGGAACTCCTATGGACATGCATCACCATCCTATCCGAGTGCTTTATAAAAATGCGCGATATACACCATTAACCTTCTGAAAAATAGCATTCTTCTCTCCCAGCTCACTTCTCACGTAATGATGGCTGGGGTACTATCATTAAATATTAAGAACATGAATGTGATCTATTTTCATTTCAACGGCTTCATTTGTTTGAAATGTATATGCCAGTTACAGGCTGTCAGCATATTTAGTAAGTTAGACCAACAACTCACAAACTTCAGGGGCCAAAAATTTTTTACAGATCGTCATGAATACTTGTCATTAATTTTTGCACCAAAACCACTATAAATCATACTGTTAGATTTCCACAAGGCAGCTGTGAGCTGCTTTGCTACAAGCACGTGGAACACCAGTATTTGCCAGGCACAAAAAAAAGCTAAAAGCACCCTTAATACCACCACAAACTCTCAAATTCCTCAGAGAAACCGAAACCCTTCTCAGTAAACAAAAACCCAGCAGCAACTAAGACAGGTCTTTCAGTATGACCCTAAGGTAAACAAGTTCAAGTTTTAGCAAGCCAAGTTCAGGAGCAAAGCACATCTGTTGGTGACGTCTTCAGGAAGATTGGATTGAATGCTTCAACGGATCTTGGTATTGGAGAGAGGTGAACTTTGATAGAGCAATTAAAGCTTTGCATGTGAAAACCAATACTTAAACAGCATCCACAAATTGACAGCAGAGCAGGTTACAGATTACACTCTTACTCATGAGAGATAACTGTCACCAAGCAGAATTCTCCATAGTCAGCCAGCTGCGCTTTCCGAGAGGAATTCAAGTAGTCTCACAAAAAAGGCAAACTGACTTAAATATAGACCAGGATTTTGGGAAATATCTCCGTAAAAGGAGATTCCTTATCTACTACTTAGTCTGAAGCAAGTAGACTCTTTTCTGCTGCACACCCTATTCTTCCCAAAACAGCTGCAAATCTTATTGACTCCTTCCCACACCCCTGCCATAGAATACCGCAAATGCTAAAAATTGTCACGGGTGCTAGGGAAGGTGGAAACAGTTAATGGAAAAGAAATCCATACCAATTTACTACATACACAGAAAGCAACTTTGGCTGAGGAAGTCCTTGAGCTGAAAACTGGTAGAGGGTTGGAGAGTATCCTGGAAAAGACCACCCCTATGGCCACATCCTATATTCTTCCCTAGGCATCTGCTTTGGACCCCATCTTGAAATAGGAGCCTGGGCTACATTGTCAGACCACTGATCTGACAAAATATAGTCACCCCTATGTTTGGTATGACATACCATAGTTGCCCATAGATTAACCTTCACTTGCATATCCAAATTATAAAGTTATTTTCATTGCTACAGCACTTTGAAGCCATGGTAATGGACAAAAACTTACTGGGCTAACGTTATAAGTGTAATGTAGAAAGATGACTGGCAAATTCCTGTAATTCTGAGATCTGATATTTTCTGTTCTGTTCCTCATCTCAGTAGCACCACTCAGGCATATATACACTTACAGATATGTCACTTAACATAACCTCCAATCTCAGAATGGCAGTGAGATAGCTAATCAACTGCATCAAATGGGTACCACCTTTATGATGCAGATTGCAAAACATCACAGCCCTATGATCTGTGTTTCGCATGTGGGCTTAATAAGAGTGCAAAGACATTTGATGCCAGGCATGAACAGCAAGTGCCTGCTACTGGAATCCATAACGTTTACCACAAAAGCAAACAACAAAGTTCTTCTGAAATAACTGCTTGGCTTCCTGTTTATGTCTGTTGCTGCAACAGCACCATTTCATGGTTCAAAGGCAGCTGGCAGATGAAACATAATTAGCATGGTCACCTGATTCTTCTACCTTACCAGGACTATGTTACTGATCAACAGAACAGTATCATCCTTATTTTATAGGCCTGCAAACCCTGAGATTTTCCACTGTACAGCAGGTTTTATCCCAAAGTTGTTAACAAGAAATTGACTGTCAGGCATTCATTCTCTAGAGAACTTTTGAGGTTCCTTCTAATATGCCCAATCGTACATCTGGAGAATTGTATAGTGCTGTGAGAATAAATAAGCTTATTTAAGCATTTTCTTGTACTTATACCCAGATGCCACTGCCATCCATGCTGTCATTTGCCACTTTTCTCCCACCACGGAATTAGTCATAAAAGAATGGAGGGGGAAGCTTGAACAGAAGTCTTTTTCCTATCCCAAATAAGTCCCTTAAGTCTCTTTACTCCTTCTTTGAAGGAAGGAGTTCCTTCACCTCCTAAAATATATCAGTAATAACTTACCACAAGTTCAGAGAATCTGGCATTGAGCTCTTCCGCTGGTGGAATTGGGACAGAAAACTCAAGGAATTGGAGAGGGTTGTTGTCCTTGAGGTTGATTTCAGGGAGGTCGCTACCCCCAAAACAACAAAGAAACCCCAACGCATGACGATTCCTCTTCCGGGGGGCCATGATCATGGTGTATGATGCTATCTTCTGATCATGTTCTGTGGGAAGAAAAAAAAAAAAAACAACAAAAACAACAGTCATTAAATGATCAGACTCTGTTGGATCTGTGCAGCTCTCTGCAGTTATAATGCTTATCACTAGTGTAACAGCTGGAAGAGGACAGAAGCATCTAAGACACAAAAGAGCAAAATAAACGCTCAAGCTAGACAAGGTAGCTAAGCTTTAATATAGTATTAACATATTCTTGTAGGGCAGTGTAGAATAACTTCTCCCAAAGTTTCTCAAAAGGTTTTACAGACTCAGTGTGGGATTTCCCAGCAAGTAGATTTACCAGTAATGCTCAGTAGGCAAGGCTGAATGCTACCATTGAATGCCAGTATAGGCCTTTCTCTCACTACTACAGCAAAGGAACCAAAGTATCAGAAGCAAAAAGCATATATTGGAGAATTTATCCAGAATAAATGGAAGAATCCTCCAAAGATACCCCATTTGATCAAAATGAAACAAACAACGAAATAATGAAGCAGAAATCAATTTTCCACCACTCTGGAGCCAGACCACCAAACACTCGCTTATCCCTTTATGGCCAGGACTATTGCAGTTGGACTGCTTTGTCTATCCCATTTTCAAACACACGTAACTAGTTTGGGCTGCTTTATGTATCCAGGGGAGAAACTGCACAGTGCTAACACATGCTTTCAGATTTACATTTGAGCTGCCAGATCCCATCTTGACAGGACCCAGGCTTGAGGGGCTTTAGTATCAGGAGCGTAAAGGGAGGAAAAAGGAGGCCTGAAGGAGGAGCTGGGAAGTGACTGACTTCACCACACAACACCGTTTTCGAGCGGCCCATCCAAACAGGAAGTCTCCTGCCAGCAGTTTGAAAGGAGGGATCTGTGCGGTCCACTGAGAGCTGCATATTTTGCCCTTTTAAGGGACTTGTTGTTTGACAGCTCAGGGGCTTATTTGTGGTATATTTTCTAAGGACTTCACTTTTTCACTTAATTTGCAGAATAAGCCATATCCTTAGAGAATAAATAATTAAAGCCTTTTGTGAAGCCCGGCTCCCTGGGCACAGGGCAGGGGAGCGGGGCGGGAAGTGGCAGGTGAACTGAACCGCAGGATGCTGGATGCTGTATCGGCAGCAACACAGCTGAGCTTTGTCATCACAGCAGCTGCTGCCCTAACCTGCCCCACAACGCTTTGGCCTGCTTTCTTGCCAGAACAAGGCTGCTTTGAGCTCTCATAAAGACTAAGTAGCTGTGCTAGGAAAAGCACTTTTAGGACTTCAGTTGCACAGTGAGACTTAACATACTGCACACAGCCAGAAGCTCTCCAGGGACTTTTTGTGTAGAAATCTGCACGCTCACTTAAGAAAAAAAAAGTAAGCAACAAACAACAACAACAACAAAAAAACCCACCCAAACCACCCAAACCTCCACTCTTGCGGCAGTATTTACGTGGCAGGAATCACCTGCCCTACATGTGCTGGTATGAATTTATCTAGCACCTCCTCTTATGCACTGGAGGGGACTCAGCTGCAACTCTCATGCAGCTGAAAGGAAAGTGAGCTGGTACTAGGCTGGTCTTCTGGCGTGCTCGCTTTCCTTTGCTCTCCACGCTCCTAGAGCTGGCTTCCAAAGCATGTTCATAAGACCATTGGATTCTCACCAGGAGATGCCAAAGGCCAACTTCACCCCGGGACTTGTCTCTGACACTAGTTCTATCAGCAAAACCACAACGCCCTCAAATCTAGCACAACAACGTGCGTGGCAACTTCTGTTTCTTCTCAGTGGTGGAGATTCAGTTCTTAAAAGATTTCACAAGAGAGCCTCAGAAGAAGTTGAACTTGTCCACCACAGACCATCTTCTCAGGGACTTTATGGTAATCTGGTCATGGATGACATTTGAACCCATGAGTTTGACAAAACTCTGTTTTGAAAGGAACTCAAATCAATGAGCCAAAACTAATTTACATACAATATAACTACATTTGCATCAATTCAGTTGTAACCAAGTTCTAGCTTTCTCACCAACCATGAAAGGACCAGCATTCTCTAAGCCACAGACGATGAATCCTCCTCAGAAAAATTGCCTGAGACATTGAAGTGATAGGACCATAACATCTTCCTTCATAAGCTCAGGTAAAGACTTTGGTAAGCACTCCTCCAAAAGAGGAGGAAATGAATACTACATGAATGGATATGAACACCAACATTTTCTACAGGGTAAGTACTGCCCTGGTCAGGGAACCACAGATTGTCCTGTACTGACATTTCATCACTCAGCTTTCATCTTAAGCAGGTTCACCAAAGCAGTGAACAGTCCGTCTCCAGGCCTTCTTCATCCATAACGGTGGAAAAAAATGCAAGCTACTGCTTGTTCCTGTGATGTTTCTACAAAATCGGCATCTGTTCCTTGGGATCCATACTTGAGAAACTTGGCAAAGTTACTCAGCTTTTACTACTCTACAAAAGCACGCAGAGCTCAAATGAACAGTAAACTTGTATTGCCTCACTTCAAAAAGCACCATTTCATTGCACAACTCCTACTCTTAAACACTGGCATTTTCCAGGTCCATCTATTAGTGGAATGCAAGAAATTCATACTGACACAGAGGGATAAAATGGCACTTTTGTATTGCTATAACACTGTAACTGTAGATAGGTGAGGTATCTAGATGCTTTTAAAGTAAAAACAATCGAGGACTGCTAGAGAGGAATCCAGCACAGGTATTTTAGAATTGAATCACTGGGCGAATGAATATTTCTAAGTAGGAGCACCATCTTTCTAAAGATTAAGCCTGCCAGTCACAGGATGCTTAGGGGCTTTTACTTAAGTTGCACTGTTTATGCTATTTAAGAACTAATTACAACTCTTTGATTTTTTGTTGGAGGATATAGTTTTAAACAAAATAAACGTTTTCTAATAGCCTTCAACTTCATAATATTTTCCTTTCCTTTCTGTCTCTTTTGCCTTTTCTTTGTCAAGAATCAAATCTGGGGAAAATGTGCTTCCAACCGATGGGGCGGGGTGAGGGGCAACAAAGAAAATGAAGAAAAGAATATCTTTCATTTTTCTGAGAGGCAATTGATAATAAAGCTGTCAAAAATTTATGAAAATAACAACAGGTGGGTTTTTTATTCTAATAAAAGCTCTATCACCCTTCAACTTCTTGCAAGTAAAGTGATTGTAAAAATGAAACACACGCAATTATCTATTTAGACCTCCAGTGAGAATCAATGAGAAATCTCTCTCTGGAGAGAATCCCACTGTTACACATAACTCCCTCCCATAGCTCTTCTTACTTGTACTGTTTTACCCTTTTGCACAACACAAACAAGTTGCTGTCAGTTCAACAGCTAACCACACACCCGCTCCTCACAGCGATCCCCCTCTTGCTTACCAACCCCATCTGTGGTTCAGCTCAGGTCAGGAGTCACAATCTGGAACTTTGCCCAAGGTCTAATTATAACAACGTCCTCTTCCTCTGACAGGGCGTACGCGTTCATTTCTAAACCATTTGGCCCGGTGACCAAACATAATTAAGCTAATGCAATTTTTCTGAGTCTTATCAGACAATTCAGCTACATGGGATAGGATCCATGCTAACTGCATACGAGGATCCTCTTTCAATTGCGGGTTCTAAATTGTTTCTTTAGTCTCACTCTTTTCTTCATTCTCATCTCAGAAATCATAATTTTCATGCAAACATGTCCTAAATAAGCAATGTTCCACAAACAGTAAGACACCTGAAAAAACTGCTATGTCAGCAGCTCTCCTGTGCAAGGGAGCTTATTATCATAGTTTTTACCTCACTGTCCTGACCTTCACCACAGTGAACAGCCAAAGCACAACTATAATTAAAACAGAGAAAATTACTTTTGTATCATCACCTTTGGAAAAACGGAAGAAAGAGAGTGAACTCTGTGGGTTAACTAAACATACAGAGTCCTGCACAACCAGTTTGCAACGTAAGGAAGCATTAATGGAAAACACTGATGTGCTCACTTCCAGAGCTGAATCTCCACTGATCATCAGACACACAATATCGGTGGATGTAGCCACAGCTCTCACCTGAGTGGGAGGCATGGGACTACATGTATGATGCAGAATCACTGTCCACACTGGTTTATTTTAACAGGAGAGGAAACAAAGTAAATCATTTCAATTTCCCTGTAAATCTGTATCTTCCTCTATGGCAGGATAAAGCATATAGACACGATGTACTGTCACAGAAGTAGAAAGAAAGCTGGATTTGGACTGGCTTGCAACATAAGCCAACTCACCCCCACCCCCAAATTCAACTTAAATCTCTATATTATTCAACTATTAAATAATAAACCACCAGAACTTCATGGTATTACAACAGCTACCTTCATCGCCCCTTACTGATGATGAAATGGAGAAAACCAACACCATGCTCAAAATTGTAAAAATATACACATTGGGTAAATCTAAACAGCTCCGTACTGATCCTATGCTCAGTTCCCTGGAGCACATTGCTTCTCCAGCACACAGACAGTGAAACTATGAGCTTCACAGCAGGTTCTAATTACCATGGGAATTTTCCATGCATGTCACATGTAATGTGACAGATGTCAGATGCAATATAAGGCAACTGCAGCATGGAAGATTGGGAAAGGGACAGGCAAGCAATCCATTTGGGTTACTACTGCACATGCAACAACTCCTTTGGTTTGGATTTGCCACCAGACTAAGGACTTTCCTGATCTCCAGTGCCCAAGACAGCAACAAAATTACCAACCATTTAAAATCCACAAAGTTAAAACCTTTCTTTCCGCTAAGAGGGTAGTCCTTCCTAAAGAGCACACCTGCTTACTACGTTGAACAGGAAGGCACCAGACCCAAACCAGATCAACAGATCCCAGGAAAGACAATCCTGGAAAAGGAGCTGGGCCTTGTGCAGCAACAGCCACGCGGTCCCGCTGAGCCATTGCCCACACTTAACAGTACCACCTGAAGAGAGAGCTCAGCTTGCAACGCACTGTGCGTTTTGAAGCCAGCTCACGGATTT